AATTCCTATTGAGAAAGTTTTGCATTTAAACAAAGGAGCCCTCTAGGGAAAAAAATGCAATGGCAGCTGCCTTCTTCCAAATGGCAAAATTGCAGATTTTCCCAGGCTGGCTTGCAAATAAATAAATAAATAAATAAATAAATCCGCTGGGAGGCTCTTTTGGGACCCACGAAATGGACTTGGCCCCGGCCCAAAGGGGCTCCTCGCTTTCCTCGGGGCCGTGGTTTGTGCTCCTCTGCAGCAGAGCTCCAGAGCTGGAAGAGAAGCTCCGACCTTGGCTTTCGTCCTCTTTTGGAGCCGCTGGGTAATTTGCAGACGCTCCCTGACGCGGGTTGGCGGCCGGGGCGCTTTGAGCGACGGACCCGTTGCCCGGGCGACCGGGGTTCCGTCCGCCGTCGGGCCCGGCCGACAACATGGAGCGCGGCGTGTTGGGGCCGGGCCGGTCCCGCTTCCTGGCCTGCGCTTGTTTCCTCACCGACAACCTTTTCGTGGAGCGCTACGGACTCCACCTGCGCTACCGGGGCGACCCCGAGCAGCTGCGGAGGGACTACGGGCCGGTGAGCCGAGGGGCGGCGGAGGATCCCTCGCCCGCAGTTGGGAATGGGAGGGAGGGGAAGGGCTGGACTACCGCCCCCATCCTCCCCGCCCTGCTGAGCCCCGTTCTTTCCCCCGCAGGTCTTGAGGCAGCGCGGCTGCAGGAGCGAGGAGGACTTCGCGGCCGTCCTTCGAGAGGTCTGGGCGGGCGAGGCTGCGAAGGAAGCCCCTCCGGGCTTTGGTTGCATTAGTTCTGCCCCTTTTCAACCGAAGAATCTCACTAGCCTGATTAGAAAAAAAATCCTTTTTCTTCTTTCTTTTTCTCTTTTCTTCTCTCCTTCCTTCCTGTCTTCCTTTCCTCCCACTTGCTCTCCCTTTCTTTCTCCTGCCCTTCCTTCCCTCCCTCATTAGTCCTTCCTTCCTTCCTCAGTTTTTTCTTTCCTTCCTTATTAGTCCTTCCTTCCTTCATTCTTTCCTTCCTTCCTCTCTCCCATTTGCTCTTTTTATTCTTTCTCCTTCTCTTTTACTTCCTTTCCTTCCTCTCCCCTCCTTCCTTCATCTATCTATCTATCTATCTATCTATCTATCTATCTATCTATCTACACACGTACGTACATAGACAAAATAGATGTTTATATATGTATACACACATTGCATAGCTACATAATTACCAGTATGTATCAGCTGGAAGAATTGCACTGAACTCTGGAATTTCAGTATTCTTACCTTATTTTGAAAAAACATACAATTATGGATTACGCCACAGTATCGTTGCTGCTTTATATCAGCTACAATAATCACACCAGCATAATTCTTAAATTATATCCATATCTAGTGAGGCATATTGATATATAGTATATATGCCCACATGCTTATATAATTCTATCCACATATATCACCTGGAAGAATCACACCATTGTGGAATTTCAGTCTTCTTATTGTTACATTATTTTGAAGAATCATGCAATTGTGGCTTATTCCATAATATTAGCTTGAAAGAACCACACAACTGGAAGATGGTTACGATTCTATAATTGTATCCTTCCCTTTTTTGTACAACTCAAGGCAGTGTGTACAAAATGCTTTCTTGCCTCTTATTTTCCCCACACCGTTCCTCTTGAGAGGGGGTTGGGCGGTGCAAGAGACTCTGACCAAAAATCACCCACAGATTTATGTGTACTAGAACTCAGTTTCTGGCCTGGTACTTTTTGAATTTTATGAGACCCTCTCACTGTTTCTGTAAACAAGAAAGCGAGGAGGAAATCTCCCTTGTATCTGTTAAAGTATATCGTAATCTTAACATTTTATAAACAGTCAGATTGAATTGTTGCAGGTTGAAAATGAAGTGCAGAGAAGAAAGGAATTGGACCGTCTGTCCAGAGAAAGAAAAGCAATCATCTCTCAGAATTACAGACCAAAGCACCCACATCTATATATTTTACAGGTAAAGGATGTGTTTCGTTGTGTTCGCACATCGGTTTATGCTAGAGGACTTGGAGGAAGCGGGAGGAAACTTAGGCTAATTATGAAGCAGTGAGACTAACTTTTTGGCTTCAAAGCCTTTTCTGACAAAGAGGAAACCACATAATCTAGATGTTGATACCAACTCCTTTACCTGTGATTGAGGTAGGGGGATAATTTACCTGGGCAGGGGGGAGCATGCAGCCTGGCAACCTGCTCCCAGTCCCTAGAGTTAAGAGCGCTGGCAGGAACCCCCCAAAAATGGATGCAAGTGATAGGCCAGTTAATTAGAAGGAACGTTTATTCTGTTCAATTCTGTCTCTCTTGTTCTTTCCTCATCCCCACCTGCTATGGTAGGAATCATTTTTTAACCCGGAATTTTTAGAAACCGTCAAGTACTGCACATCCCAAAATGCTGATCTCCAGGGTCTCCTACACCGTGTGGAATCCTTATCAGGTAAAAACACTGTTCATTTATCAGTAGCCTGCAGGGTGAGCTTACGACTGTTTGGCTCAGGAAAGGCTCAGATTCTCACGCACAGATGAATCTTTCTTGCCCTTGCTGATGAAGTTCCATTCAATTGGGGAAATTCATCATTTTATATGCAAATAAATTAAAAAATCTTGAATTATGGCTTCCTGTCCACAAACTTCTAAGCTTTAACTATAAAAACAAAAAAAATGGGACTAGTTTATTTTATCAGCTGGAAAATATACTTATTACTAATAGGCAATAAAGTGGATTTCTTCATTCCCTTCCCTGGTTACTTTCTTCTTCTATTTCAGATAAGAGAATATACCGGTTGCCAATATTCACCAAGGAATTCTGCGAAGCTTTTGTTGAGGAGCTAGAACATTTTGAACAATCCGAGATGCCCAAGGGGAGACCCAATTCTATGAATAACTATGGGGTGAGATGCACATCTTGCAGATGGCAGAAATGGGGAATGTAACGGGGGCGTTGATGTGGGAATTAGTTTTGTTTAATGCACTTTCTCACATTAAAGAGGGTTGCTTGCATTCTATCCTGTCTCACTTAAATACAAAACAATTACCAATGCTACAGCGTTAATGCTTGACATCATAAAAAACATGTGTTTTTTTTTCAAAGCCCTGGAAAAAGATCAACCTGAATCTTCTGCTAGAATATTCATCATTTTATTTTCTTCTTCTTTTATCTTCTGGCCCTTACTTTCTTGTTCACATTTATGGCAGGTGCTTTTGAATGAACTTGGACTGGACGAAACTTTTCTTACACCTCTGCGAGAGAAATATTTGCAACCCCTGACAGCGCTGCTTTACCCGGACTGTGGAGGGAGCTGCCTGGACAGCCACAAAGCTTTTGTGGTGAAATACGCACCGCATGAAGACCTGGACTTGCACACTCATTACGACAACGCGGAAGTGACCCTCAATGTTTCCCTGGGGAAAGAGTTCGCCGAAGGGAGCCTTTATTTTGCAGAATTTAGACAGGTGCCTCTTTTAAAATACAAGCTTAGTACAATTGATTGTAATCTTTTTTCACATCAACATAGTTGGGATGGGCAATTAATTACTATATGACAGATTTGAGATCAGGTGTCTTTATAATAGTCAAACTTTTCTCAGCTCTGCTGGAGACCTTCTCTACCTCGAGGTAGTACTTATTTTATACATCTATGAATTATTAAAGCTATAATCACCTGGGTGTACGGTGGTTATAACTTTTGGTTATTTTCTTGACATCTTGCCTGTATTATTCTTAGAAATAACCCAAGGCAGTAAACATACCTAACATCCCTTCCTCCTCCTAGTTTCCTCACAACAACCCGGTGAAGTGAGCTGAGAGTGTGTGTGACTGGCCCAAGGTCACCTAGCTGGCTTTTGTGCCTAAAGCAGGACTACAACTCACAATCTCCTGGTTTCCAGCCGGGTGTCTTAACCACTAGTTTCCACTGCCTTGATTCGAAGACCACAACTGCTGAAACAGCTCTTAACCTGGTGATCTTTGTCCATTTTTTTTTCAAGGATGCCAAGCCTGTGCCAAATTACCTTGAGGTCGAACACCTGCTGTACTACGGATTGTTCCATCGTGGAGGGCAGCTACACGGGGCACTGCCCATTGCCTCTGGCGAGCGCAGGAACCTGATTATCTGGATGCGATCATCCGCTGTCCGCAACCACCTTTGTCCCATGTGCAACAGAGTGCCTGACCTCGTTGAGGCGGATGGATTTGGTGATGGGTTCACTAGGATTTTGGAGGGCAGCCCTCCTGGGACCACAGATGTGTGCTCATTAACATAGACGATGGAGAGAGCGCAGAATTTTATATCTGGGTTTTAATAAATTTTCAAAATCTGACTATGGCATCAATAGTCTCTTCTCTGTGCAGTCCTGAGTGCTTGGCAGTTTGCTTGCGGACGTTCCATTGCCCAACTAGGCAACATCATCAGTGCTAGAATGAAGTGGGGTTGGAGGAGGACGGCTGTGGGGTCCTTGGCGCTCTTTGAGTTTCTTGCAGACATTTCACGTCCCAACAAGGCAATATCATCAGTTTGAGGGTGTGTAAGGGGCTCCCTGCTTGCATATGCCAAAATCCCACGCAATATCAGTCCTATTTAGATGGTGTCTCTCCAGCATAACAGCTAAATACCTTTTTTAAATCAAAAGCTCAGAAATACTATTTTGAATGCTTTATTTTTTTAAATAAGTACCTTTCCTTCTCAGTTACAATAGCCTCAAATTGGAAAGGAAAATCTCCTATTTTTAACTTCTGGTGCTCAGAAAGCCAACAGCTTCAGGAATCTTGAAAGAGATTTAAATAAATTTAAATAAGTAAATCCCGACAAAGCCGTGGGTGAAGAGTGAGATGGAAGGCATAGGAATTTAATAAAATAAATGTAATAAATCTCTATTTGGAAAGAAACTTCCTATCTAAGGCTCACGTATATTAACCGAGGTGGGAACCAAAGTGCGCAGACTCCGATTCCCCGCCGGACTCATCCAGGAACGTACCAACCGGAAGTCGCCGCCAGAGTTTAGCGAACGGTCGCCGTTGCGGCGGGAGGGGGGGCTGCGTTCGCTTCCCGAGGCGGCTGAGGTCCGCGGATGGTGCGGAGAAGCCGCCTTAACGAGGGCCCTCCTCCTCACGCCGTGCCGGGCCTTCTCCGCCCCACCGGCGAGCCGCTTACCTGACTCGGTAAGTTCAAGACCACCTGGGCGAATTCGGATCCAGAAAAGCGGAGCAGGGTCGTCGTTGGTACGCATGCGCCCCAGGCGGCCACCTCTGGAGACTAGGAGGAGGCGGGCTTATAAAGGCAGGGGTGCACGCGGATTGGCCGAAGACAGTTTAAAATGACAGCTAGGAGAGGGAGCTTTTCTTAAAGGGCCAGTGCTGAAGTCTTATTCGGTATAGAAAAGGAAGAATATTAATATACTGTAAAGATTTTGAGTACAGATAGCTATAAAACAGGGGGGAGCAATTTTCCTTAAGAATAAAGTGACTATTCCAAAAGGAATAAGACCTAAAAGAATAAAAATTACATCAATTTTGTTGCTTTTGCATCAATTCAGCTAGTGCCCTTCTGTCTGCTTCCCCCTTTAAATCTTAACCAGTTTAAAAGAAAAATAATGTATGTTATCTTTCTAGAAGAACATGTGTTTTCCTCATGTGATAGCATAAACTTGCAAGAAAGTCTGTGGTACCACATAAATATTTTATACACCAGATACAATTAAGATAACATAGTTACCCTGTGAAACTCATGGCCACAAAATACCTGTGAAAAGAAATGGGAATTAATCCAGTGGTTAAGTGAAGTAATTAAGTGAAACTGAAAAAAATGGATTAAAAAAAAAAAGATTAAAGATCTACGGGATAAGAATTCCATTGTAAAAAAGAATAAAGTTTTAGTTGGAGATGAACAACAGGAGTTATATTTTGTATTATATTTTACCTGTTTTAAATTTATTTTACACTTTTTAAATTTTATCTATTCTAGCTTTACAAATAAGACATTCCTAGAGGGTTGCAGTAGTGACGGTTATTCTGCTGGGGGTGTGTTAAAAAGCATTTTGTCTGTCTAAAACAGGCCCAAGAGCAAGATGGCTCACAGCCAGACTAAGAAACGCAGGAGGAGTCGAAGTGATTCCCGGAGTCGAAGTGATTCCCGGAGCCGACGAGACAAGGAGGAAGATAAGAAAAGGAGGAAGAGTAGCAAAGATTCCCGAGAGAGGAAGAGCCGATCCCCGGCAAGCAAAAAAGAATCTGAACCCCAGGAATTCAGGATGAGTTTATCCTCTTCCAAAGACGGTGAGCTTTTCCCAAAATTGCAGCCAAGATTTAAGCATAGTTCACAAAATTGTCTGCTACAAGGTCTTGCCCGTTAATGACTTCTTCAGCCTCAACCACAAGAACACATGGGCAAAAAACTGATACAAGCTCAAAGTAAACCACTCCAAACTCGACTGAATTTCTTCCCTTTAAAAACTGTTCTTGGGAGAGTTTTTTCTCCAGCTGATGATAGCTGTGAATCTTAACAAATGCACAGTTGCGTCCTCAAGTGAGTGTTGTTGAAAGATGGAAGAACGATGCGGATTTCTCCTCGACCTTCCATCTTGGTTCCCTGGCAGTTCACAGGAGGGTCCTCCTTGGCTTTGACGTATCGTATTTTATTTTATTTGTTTGTCAAACATATCCAAGATAACAAGTGTCGGTATGAACATAAACATGATGTCAGATGTGATGACCCAAAGGGGCGTGGCACAAAAGCAACCAAGTGACAAAAGTCGGTAAAGTCCCTTTAATTCCTCCAACTTGGCCCCCAATATCCAGTTATCATCAGCTGGAGAAAAAAACTCTCCCAAGAACAGTTTTTAAAGGGAAGAAATTCAGTCGAGTTTGGAGCGGTTTACTTTGAGCTTGTATCAGTTTTTTGCCCGTATGTTCTTGTGGTTGAAGCTGAAGAAGTCATTAACGGGCAAGACCTTGTAGCAGACAATTTTGTGAACTATGCTTAAATCTTGGTTTTCCCTTCCTTAAAACTTCCCAGGAGTTCCCCCAGAAACTTGAGCAATTTTAACATTTGAAACAGGAAGCTCAGATTTAGTGGCGGTTCTCGCTGTTTGCAGGCATGATTTTTAAGGCAGCCTGGGGGAAAAAAAGTGTGTGTGGGGGGGGAATTCTGGGAATTTAACTCCACCCATCTTAAAAGGGGCTGAGGTTGAGAAACACTGCTTTAAGGAGCAGGTTGATACCGACGACTTCACTTGCAGGGTTGCAGAAAAGCCCAAATTATTTTGAAGAAGTTGGTTAGCCAGCTCACTCCGTTCAGATGTGGTCTCCAGACAGGTTGGGTCTCGGTAGGACTAGCAAGGAGAATTACTTTGCACACACCCACTTGGTGATGAATTATTTTGTGGTTCTCTTGTGACACGACAATTGTTGTGGTTCACCGGCAGCAGATGCGGACGGTTGAGGGGCCTGCGTGGGATGCTGGGATGGGGCCAGGGCCATCAGGGAGATGGTCCTGGTCCCCTTCAGAGATTATGGAGGCTGGCAGCAGTGAGGAAGAGACCCCCGAGGAGCCTGTGCCCAGTGCACATGCGCACAGGGCTGCTCGAAGAAAAGAGCAGCTGCAGTAGCACGGGCAACTCGGGAGTAAGACTGCAAGGGGATGGCCCCTCCCTTAAGCGATAAAAGCCGGCTGAGAAACCGGAGTTCTTTGCAGGAAGCAAAGAAGTTTTTTTGCACTCAAGCCTGGTGGATGTTCTGACTCTCTAAGTTTGTGTTTGGAGACTCCTTGGGTTTGAAATATTTCTTAGTAACTTTATCTAGTGTTCTTGGCAGCCTTGCACCACCTTGGCAAGGCTCATTCTTACCAAAGACAGTTAGTTTGAAACAGCCTTTTAATCGTGAAGGAATGGAATTCGTAAAGAATCATTAAAAGGTTTTGCTGTGACCTCCGTTTGGTGTTGGTTTCCTTGGAACCAGGTTTGGGTCAGAACAATAATAAATGAAGCCGGTGGGATCAGATCTCCTGGATTTCAGCCCCCGTTTATCTTCTGTTCCATGCTGCCTTCTAGTGAAAAAGAAGAAGAAAACGAAGAAGAAAAGGAAGAGGAAGGACAGCAGCTCCTCTTCCTCCGAGACCAGCTCTTCTTCCTTCTCCTCTTCCAAATCGGCCTCCTCTTCCAGCGCCTCTTCGGACGGGTCCGGCGACAACAAGCCCAAATCCGAAAAGAAAAAGCAGAGGAGGAAGAAAGCATCCAAAGGGAAAGATAAGAAGCGGAGAAAACGAAAAGAGAAAAAGAAGAAGAAGAAAGCCAAGAAGGAAAAGGGAAAAGAGGAGGGACCTAAGAAGGAGGAGGCCCCCGGCCCTTCGCTGGACCAGTGGCAGAAGGAGGCTGGGTCGGATTCTGGACCTGGTAAGGCTGGCATTTGTAAACTCAGTTAAAGCGAGCCTGGAAAAAAAAATTCTCCAAAAAAAGAGGGTTGGAGGTACTATTGAGAGGCTTTTGTAACATAAAATAAGTCCCCCTTCCTTCTTCCCTCCTTCCCTTTCCCTTCCTTCTGCCTCAATCTCCTTCCTTCCTTCCCTCCCTCTTTTTCCTTTCCCCTTCCCTCCTTCCTTTCCTCCCTCCCTCTCTTTCCACAATCGTTGTTCATGAAGAACAGGGTTTTCCCCCCCTTCCTTCCCTCCTTTCCCTTTCCCCTTCCTTCTTTCCTTTCCTTCCTTTTTCCCTCCCTCCCTTCCAACAATGGTTGTTGTTGAGGTAATTTCCCATTAGGAGACTGAGCACATACAGGGAGACGTAGTGAGAGAAGAATAATGCACACACAGCATACAGATACACTGTACAGTTAAATGTAGGTTTTTACTTTCCATAAAGGTTTAAGCAAAGTTCAAAATAGGCAGTCCAAAGTCATTCACAAGTTAAATCAGTTTTCAGTCCAGGGATAATCCAATAACAAAGTCCAGTGTCAAAAACAGTTCAGTATCAGACTTACATCAAATCCAGGAATAGCAGTCAATTAGAAGGAAAAACGGAGGAACGGCAAAACTCTCCAACAGAAGGAAACAGAGATTCACTCACTTCTGAGACTAAGACTAAGACTAAACAACCCAGGTTTCTGGCTCCATCTTATGGCCGTTTGAGAAACCACACCCAATTACACTTTAGTATTTTCTTAAAGGTACAGTATTAAAATATTTATCCTGGTTTATATATTTCCAACCCAAATACCTGTTAGGTGACTTACATTCCTAACATTTGTTCATCATGAACAGGGTTTTTTTCCCTTCCTTCCCTCCTTTCCTTTTCCCCTTCCTTTCTTTCCTCCTCCTTCCCTCCCTCCCCCCCTCCCTTCCCCCAGTAGTTCCCCCCCCCCCCCCCCCCATGCAGACTAAATCCCCTGGGTCCTTTCTCCCTATGGGGTAAAAGCCAGAGCCTTTTCTATGGTCTATTGAAGAGTTTAAATAGCATCCTTTTATTTTCTGACGGAGGTTCCTCTTTCAGCCCTCACGGACGAGCAGAAATTCCGCATCCAGGCCATGAAGCCGATGACGAAAGAGGAATGGGACGCCCGCCAGAGCGTTATACGGAAAGTCCTCGACCCCGAAACAGGCCGAATGAGGTAGGAGCAGGGCGGCTGGGTTGAATGGCGATTCCTTCCCTGTAATCTTTGTCTTTTAATGACCCCGTAATCCCTTGCGTCGGGTTGAAAACTTGGCAACTGAATGGAGCAGAATGGTTACTGGCCAGATGCCCTTCCTGTCACCAATGCGGAGTTCACAGCAGATAATTACTCATTGTACACAGGGAGAGAAATATCGGCCGCTACCTGGGATCGAACTCACCGCCTCCTGATTGTGAGGCGAAAGCTCCACCTCTAGGCCACCGCACCACTCAGTTCCTTCCCTGTAATAATTTTACAAGCTCTGTAGAATCATGCTGCCCCAACATCAACAGAAAGCAGGTTGCGTGGGGTACCAAGTGGAGGTGTTTCTCTTGCAGACTTATTAAGGGCGACGGAGAGATCTTGGAGGAGATTGTCACGAAAGACCGGCATAAAGAAATAAACAAGGTTAGTAACTTTCTACTGCCACAACAAGCTTGGTTGCAGCTGGCCTGCTTGGACAGGGTGAGCGTCATTGACTTCCTAACTAAAAACCGGCTGCGTTTTCCTTCAGAAGTTCTTATTTTACCTTGAAATTTACTCAGACAAGATGCTCGTTTCTGTCTCCATATCTGCACTTCAAAACACCCCGAGCGTCCTGTCTACGGAGATTGTCAGTCACCTAAGTCATGGTTGTCCCAAAGGTGTTTTTCTCCCCAAAAGGCAACTAGATTTTGTTTTTCCTTGAAGAGCTGTCACTTCTCATCCAAGAAGCTTCTCCCGTTCTGATGAAAGGAAGAAGAGAGCTTCCGTCAAAACGGAAGAAGCTTCTTGGATGAGAAGCAAAACCTCCTCAAGGAAAAATGTAAGTCCATTTGCCTTTTGGAAAAGGCACTTTTGACACCCCGAGCATCAGTCTTAACAAAATCAGGCTTCCTAAAGTGCAGGGTGAAACACCGCTGATTGACAGACGTCAATTCAATTCTCTTTTTATTTTCACCACCACTGGAAACCTTATAGCTTCCAGGCAATCAATCCATTCACCTTCTGGATTTTGCCATTTTCGGGGAATCCCTTTTGTGGTTAGCCGGCAGCAGGTGCGGACGGCTGAGGAGAGCGAGGACTCAGATGAGGGGCCAGGACCGTCAGGGAGTGGACTGCTGCCTTCAGAGATTGTGGGGGCTGGCAGCAGCGATGAGGAGGTTCCCGAGGAGCCTGTGCCAAGTGCATGTGTGTGTAGGATTGCTCGCAGGAAAGAGCAGCGACAACAGCACGGGTGACTCTGGAATAAGGCTGCAAGGTAATGGCCCCTCCTTCAAGAAGATAAAAGCCAGCTGTGAATTGGATGTTCTTTGCAGGAAGCAAAGACGTTTTGAAACTCAGCCTCGTGGATGTTGCAGTATCTTAGTTGGTATTTGAAGACTCTTGTGTTGTGAAATATTTCTTATCTGGCAGCCTCGCACAGTTTTGGCGAGGCTCGTGCTTCTCAAAGTTAGTTTGCAGCAGCCTTTTAACCGAGGATTCGTAAGAACCATTAAAAGGTTTCTGTTCCCTTTGGGTTGTGTTTTACTGGAAAAGGGTTTGGGTCGGAACAATCCCAGGGTGGGGTGGGGAATGGTGGAGGGCAGCTAAACAGGACTTTATTTGTCTCTGCTCAGCTCCCCCTAACCTGTACCATCGTTTCCTTTTCCAGCAAGCTAATCGGGGCGATGGACTTTCGTTCCAGATGAAAATGGGGATGTTGCAGTAACGGAGCAGACCCCGAAATGGCAAAGATGATCCGGTGGCTGTTTGCAAAAGGTTTTGCCCCAACGAGGCATGTCCAGGTGCCAGAAGGCAGGCCCAGGCCACGCTGCCCAAGCCTTTGCGGGGGGGGGGGCTCTCCCCCTCCCTTTCTGCCCCAAGGGCTCCTTGATTTCCCCAGGGGCCGGTCTCTTCAGCTTCTCATCCAGCTGAGGTTAGGGAATGTAATTCCACCAGGTTCTCCTTGTGGGGTGCAGGGGGGGAAAGAGAGAGAGAGAGAGGATGCAGGAGAAAAGAAAAGAAAAGAACCCCTAACAAATTCAGGGCTGTTTTTGATGGGGGCGCTTCCCAAGGGATTTCTTGCAGCTAGAGAGGCCGCTGATCTCCCTCGTCCGTAATTTTGAGGATCTGGGAGGGAAGTCGAGCAAAGGAGCAACTCCCCGTCACGCTGAGAAAAAAAATGCCCAGCCTTGCCAAGCGATGCAAAACCCTCCCATCAGAGCCTGGGCTACCGCAACGGCTCCATACCAGCAAGGAGAATGACTCATCCTCCCCCTGGTCTGGCTGCCGGAGGAGGAGAGAGCTCAGGCCTACGGGGTCTCCTTCAATCCACCTGGCATTGCGCCACTCCCCTTCCCCTCTCCCTAACCCCCCCACCCCCAGCAAGGAGGCCCAAGAGCTTCAGGGGAACCTGGAATGAGACCACCTGGCCCAATTCTCCGGCTGCCTCAGTTCCTCTCCTTCCAGGCACAGGTGATTCACCTCGCCTTTGAAGGGTACAGTGGCTTCCCGGCCAGTCGGGGGAAGATTAAAGAGCCGTTTAGGGGTTTCCAGATGGGCCGATTCTTGATTTTGGGCTACGGGAGAAGGTTGGTTGGACCCCAACGAATGCCTGGAAGGTTGCCAGCTGCTCAGTCCCGGTGTGGGATTTGATTTCAGCTTCTGCTAGTGAGAAAGGCAAAAGATGGCGTTGTAAGCTCGCAAGAAGAGGCCTGGCAAAACCTACCGTCTCTGCCTGGGCTGTTCGTTTAATTCTGCATTAGTTGCTGCGGGTTTTAATTTTAAATTCTCTCCTTCTCCTTCCATCCTTCTCCTCTTTCTCTTCTTCCCATGCTCCTCCTCCTTTTCCTTCCATCCTTTTCCTTCCACCCTTCTTTCTCCTCTTCCTTTCATTCTTTTCTTCCTTTTCTTCTTCTCTTCCTTCCATCGTCTTCTTTCCTGCTATTCTTATCCTTTCTCCTTCTCTTCCTTTCCTTCTTCTCCTTCCATCTTTCTCCTTTTCTTCTTTTCTCTTTCCTTCTTTTTTGTCTTCCACCCTCCTTTTCCTGCTCTTTCTCTCCTTCCATCCATCTCCTCCTCCTCTTCTGGCCAGAGAGCATTCACAGTCAATCATTCATTCTCGGATAGCCACTTTGTGCAATTTGCACATAACCTTCCTTAACGGGCAAGAGATTCCCCCCTTCTTTCCAATCCCTCCCGCTTTCAATCTTGCCTGGCCTGTTCACCCTACCGGTACAAAACTGGGTTACGCACAGGCCCAGCGGAACTATGCACCGGCCAATTCGTAGCCTCCTCTGGCAATCAAACAGTTGCTCAGCTACCTTGTGTAAACTCTGTTCCCCACTGCAAGCAGTTAATTATTAATCCGTTCTTGGAACAGGCCACGCAATTCACCCCAGAGGGAAATCAAACAGACGCATGCGAGAGAAAATACGGTAGCCGGCATGTGTTTAAAATTCTGCAGGGCATCCCATCCTGCAGAGGAAATCGTGCTGGTTTCCAAAGCACCACTAAAGGCAGATTTAATATTCTTCCTTTGAAATTCGCCAAATGAAACTGTTCTTATTTAATTTTTTTTTTTTTTTTGGTTAATTTGGCTGGATTGTATGTACCCTTTGCATGTGTCGTTCTCTTTTTCAAAACTGCAAGCTCTTAAAAAGAAGAATCCAGACGGTCCAAGGCAATCAATATTGTGCCACCTGTCCAACTGGGAAATGCTTGTACAGGGTGCTGATGTAGCTAATTGAACTAATTAAAGCAGTCTTCTGAACCACCTTAGTCGGCTGATGGCATCCTCTGTTCAGTTAGAGGAGGAGCGCTTGTTCTGTAGTGGGTGTGTTTTCCAGACTGTTCTGGCACGTTTAAATTCGGGATAAGGATGAGCTACTATCAGATGATACACCGGAAGAAGGGATGGCTTCCCAAATTAAGAAAGGCCTGCCACCAACACCAGGGAAATTATTTTATCCACGAATAATAATAATAATAATAAAAATCACTCAAGATCCAAGTCGTTTGCCTGCTTTCCGGCTTGGCCTCAGTGGTTTAGCAGGAGCTACAAACAGACCACCTTCTCTCTCTCTGCATCCTTACCAATACCCAAAGTTTCCAAGATACTGCAACTGAGTTAATCCCTTGGTGATTATTTTTGCCTGGTGAAGAAAAGGTTACACAGGAGGGTATATTTGCAACAAAAAAAATAAATAAATCGAGGGAATTGCCAGGGAAAGTTGAACCCAACGAAGCCCAACCGAAGGAAATGGACACGGGTTAAAATAGGCCCCATGGGGCAATTTGTGATGTGGTTCCGGGCATGTTTTTGCAAAGAAACAAAGACGGTGAGCAAAACCTTCCCAGTTCCTTTAATTAAGAGGTTCACATACAACTGTGGTAGCTGGATACAAAGCATACTCGGGTGGCAGGAGAGAAGATGGCAGTCACGTACGACAACAGCAAGGCGCCTGACAGTATCATGCACACAGAAACATAGGAACATAATGAAACAAAACGAAAAAGATGGAACAGGTTAAGCCAGACCCTCCAAACGTCCAAACTGAGCATTTCCACCTGCAATAATTTTATCCCCCTCCCGACTGTCTCCTTAAAAGTGAAGATTTTTCCCATTTCCGGTGCCAACAGGACACATTTAAAGATGACATTAGGACAGGTGGAGAAAAAAGAGGGCTAATAGGAACCTTGTAGTGATGGTGAAGACATTGAAAAGAGAGATAAATGCTTCCCAGCCAAGCCGCTTTGGCTAAATCCGGCGGGAACCAAACTTGGTCAAGGTGCTCGACTCCGCTGCAGGGCACGATAAACCTCCTTCAAACTGAAATGTTGCCCTGTTTGAAAAGGCAAAGAGATCTGCCTGGATTGAAAAGCGGGGAGGCTTTCCTTCCATCAAGACGTTCCAGTTTGCCTGCTACCTTTCTGCTATCCTGGGATTTAAGGGGGTGATGGGTGAGAATTGCCAGGTTTCTAATTCTGGATCAGATTGGAGCCCTTCGGTTCCAATAAATAAAATAAAATAAAACAGATCTACATTCTTTCCAAGCAGAGGTGTTTCAGATCAGGAGTGTCCAACCTCGGCCAACTTTTAAGACCTGTGGACTTCCAACAACCAGAATCCCCCAGCCAACATGGGTGGACCTCAATTCCCAGAATCCCCCCGGCCAGCATGTTGAGATTTCCCTCCACCTTAAAATTTGCCCAAGTTTGCAAAAACATTTGAGTCGTACAACCGGCTTTTTACACACGTCTTGCAAATGCACACACGGAGACACGAGACGTAAGTGTTTTTGTTTTTCTTTAGAATTTGAAAATGTTTACACATCAGGTTGTGTCTTGGTTGACGGGTTGTGCAGAGTAAAAGAAGGAAGGGAGGAAGTCCCAAACAGTGTGTGTGGTTCCCTTGGCAGTTTTTGCGATGTCTTTTTTTTTTTGCGCGCGACATAATGGAGACGCGGTGATCGGACGAGACAGAGCAGATACGCAATCCTTTTGGACACTTCTCCCACTCCTGTTTTTCAACGTCCATCCCTAAGCACTAGGCGCAACCAGAGAGAGAAGAAAAATAAATAAATCCCATAAGTAGTGTGAGAAACCTTCCAGACCCCTTCGCAGTTGGACAGATGGCTTAGTATCATACAATATGGCTTCCTAAACCACCGAGATTTTCTCCGTACAGTGAATTTTACTCCGGCACTTTTCAAAGGAAGAGAAACGGATGCTGGAGAAGATTTAAAGGGGTGGGGGGGAGGGATATATTATAAAAAAGAGCATTGGGTGGATATTTGTTCATTAAAAAATATATATATCCAGGCAAACCACCGAAGCGTTGCAGAGGTTGGAAAAAGGCTGCATTTCACAGTGCAAAAGTGCCCATCCATTGGGACGCCCGTCGGTCTGGCGGGGGGGGAAAGGCCGGAAAAGACGGACGAAGATGCGCCTGCGAGATA